TAAATTATTAGTCTAATCTCTTCTTGTTTCAAAAAAAAAAAGTTGGGAGAAACTCACTCTACCTATCAGCTCAGACACAAACCATATCTCAAAGCGAATGTCCCTTATTAAACACTGTCAAATCATAAATAATTAATTCATCCCATCAACAAACACTTACTTGTGGACCACGACAGTGGACATGATATAGTCTAGGCTATGATAGATCTTACTTCCTGGTGAGGAAGGCAGAGATGAAAACAAGTTATTGTAGCACATGGGCTCTGCTTTTCCCCTATCCCTCATATCCAATCCATTAGCCAGTCCCTTGGCTCCAAATAAATACTGAATCCATCTACTTGACTCCAGTTCACTGCTATTTGCCTGCCAGACCATTGTCAACTCTTACAACCTTTCGACTGGGCTCTACACAGCAGAATGGAATGTTCTCTTAAAAATCAGATCATAGCCTTCTCTTGTTCAGAGCCCTCCAATGGATTCTCATTACACTTTAGGCTAAGACCCAAATGCTCACCATGACCTACGAGGCCCAAGGCCCATCTCTCTAATTTCATTTCCTGGTTCTCTCACCCTCTCTCAGCTCCAGCCACACTGGACTTCTCTCTGCTTCTCTAACACTTCCAGCTTGTTCCATCTTTGTCACTCATCCCCCTTTATTGTCCTCTGGAGTTTACCTGTCATCCTCTACCTCACTTCCTCCTGTATCTTTATGTGAATGGTTCTTTCTCACCATTAAGATGCCAGACCCTGGGCCCCCTTTACAGAACAGCCTCCTCTGATCACTCTAGCTCAAGTAGTAGCTTTCTCCCATTGCCATGCTGTGTGCATCACCTTGTTTTATATTCTGATAGTATTGAGCCCAACTGCCCCTCCCATCCTGTTTAAGCACTTGCTAACTTGTTTGTTGTCTTTGCCCCATTTTAATGCACATTATTGCTTTTCATTCACCGAGGACAGGAATTTTGGCAGTTTTGTTCACTGCCATGTCTTCAATATATGCAATGATGCCTGGGGTATACCTGGCGGTACTTGATGTTCAATATTTGTTGAAGAAAATGAATGAACACAGAAAACTAAAATGCCTAATCTCATACAAAAAAACCAGCTTCTTCCTTTGCCAAAATTCCATTTTTGTTATTTCTAACTGCCTTGAGTCAGCTTCCTACCAAATGCAGCTAGGAAGCAAAATCTCAGACTTCGGGAACACTTTTGTAATCTGTACCCTGCTGGGGTCTGCTGGGGAGTATGGGGAGGTGGGTAACTCATCAGTGTTTATTTGAGATTTTGCCTAAATAAACTTCGGGCAAATCATGAATTCAGGTCAACATTGCAGTTGTCTTAGCTTTAGAGATGTTTATTTTACTTAAAACACTTGCAATAAAAAGCGCCAGCCGCTTTGGAGGACGATATGTCATTGGCTGCACGAGTCATCCCAGAACTGGGCACATGCAGATGCCCTAATTGTCAACTTCCAGTAGGAGAAATTCGACAAGTAAGCACAGAGCCTGCTGCCTAGTTCCACCAAACATCTGGTGGAGCAGGCGAAGAGGAAAGCAGTTAGATTTTTATTCTTTTTAGCATCATGTTAAACTGGCCATGAAACTGGGGATGGTGCAATTGAATTATAAGAGGGCTGAAGTATTAAATAAAAATCTAAGATGTAGTCAAGGTGTTTGGTTCGTGTTAGGCTAAAGTCTAATAGGAGGTGAAGCGGGTTTGAAACACAGTAAGTGGAAAAGACAACATCTTCTTTGCTAATAATTCGCTTCATTTAGTCTTGGGAGAGGGGCACATGGGGTTTGCATCCCTTCGAGAGGTGATTTCCTCTGCAAAGCAGGGTGTTTCCTTCTGGAGGGGACGCGCTGTTCCCTTAAATGTCAGTGGGATCCAGGAGTGTGGCCAGGTGGAACATTTTATTGTTGTTTCTTGTTTTCTTGCTTGCGGCTTTTCTGCTGGCCTTTTCCACATTCTCTTTCATGTCCAGTATTTGGACAGGCTAAGCCTGTCCAATGAGGATGTTCAATTCTAGTGAGTTTCAGAGCCATGGTAAATGCATCTGGCAGGAGTGACAGTCTCAGCTTGCCAACTCAAGGGTGGCAGAAAAGCCACTGTCTTTATCACCTTTTGACTAAAGCCCTATATTCTGCTGGATTAGTTGTAAATTCAGCCTTAGTCATTTTGGGGGGGGGGGCATGTCCTCAGGGATGTGCCTGGGAACACTTAACAACTGTCTCTCCGGGGGTACAAATAAGCCCTGATTTGTGGCATTTGTGGATTTCTGTGACAAATATTTCCACTGTGGCTGATTTCGAGCTACCAATGTGATGTCAGTAAACATGGAGCCGAGAAGACATTTGCACCAGCCCGTTATACAGCGTTCCCACCACAGATGCCATAACCAGAAATATCATCAAGAGCACAGATAACAGTAAAATGTATAAAATCATTAGGAAGTGATGGGTTTTGAGTCTTTATTACCTTCATTTAATATGATGTATTTAATTATAAGTTTATATAATTTTATTTTTAACCATAGCTGTGTTTAATAATTGGCTTGCAAATTTCCTGAAAACTTAGTGGTCCATTTTCATTACAAGCTGGCTCAGCACTGCTCGTTGCCCTTCTTGGGCTGGATGGAGTCTACATAGATCAAGCCATCTGTTGGTATCTTTAGTTATCAACTATTTGTCTATAGGATACAGATTATTGTGTAAACTCTCATTTTTCAGGCTCTAGTGATTCTGGTTATTTGCACCTAGAGCTTTGGGTCAGACTCATCTACTTTAAGGTTGATAGTATTCAGCTGCTAAGAACCAACTTGGTCTAATGGTTGTATGGCCAGTGTCTGTTCTGATTGATTGATACCCATGACATATGGTTGCTCTGTGTTTTGAACCTCACCTCTGATCCAAGTTCCATGCTGCACTATTCCTTCTGAAGCCTCGAATATCCTCCAGTCATGACCACGGATCAGAAGACAGATCCCCTGTTGAGGTGCTCATTCTCTGCTGAGCAATCCTCTTTCTCTGCTGCCTGTCCCTGATGCTGCCCCCATTCCGGCAACTCTTGACTTCTTGATGCTACCTCTCACCATTCCCAGAGGCCCCAAAGTTCCCAAGGCATCAGCGTCAAAAGCCCTCTAGCCTGCATTCAAACACTGTAAGGCCAATATGTCCACAACTAACAGAGGAGTCCTTGTGGATCTCAGCCCTCAATTCCCAGACCCAAGTTCACATGTCATCCTTGAGCTCAGCTCCATGGGAGAGTCTGAGACTGAGGTCCATCAGCTCTCTAGCTGGGGATATTCTCTGCAGGATTATCTCAACATTGACTATTAAATTAGTCTGCTTGGGCTGCCATCACAGAATACCATAGACTGAATGGCTTAAGCAACAGACATTTATTTTCTCTGTTTTGGAGAAGCTCAAGATCAAGGGTATCAGTAGGATTGGTTTCTCCTGATGGTTCCCTCATTGGCTTGCAGACAGTAGCTTCCTGATGTGTCTTCTCTTCTGATAAGGACACCAGTACTGATGAATCAGGGGCCCATCTCTGGGACCCCACGTAACCTTAATTACCTCTTTAGTGGTCATATCTCCAAGTATAGCCATTAGGGGTTAGGGCTGCGACATATGAATTGTGGGGGGTGAAGTGGGGGAGACACAGTTCAGTCCATAACAACCACTGAGCAGTTGAAAAGTGATTGGTCCAAACTGACATGTGCCCTAAGTGTAAATTCATCGCTCCTCATTTTGTATCATTTTGTCACTTTTCATTGTGTATGAAGAATGAAATATAGTATTTCACTGATATTTTTTATATTGACGACATGATGAATGATAACACTTTGGATATATTAGGTTAAGTAGAATTTCTTTCACCTGTTTCCTTTTGCTTTTTAAAAGCAGCATGGATATTCAAAAATGTAAAATTACATGCATGGCTTGTATCACGTTTCTGCTGCACCATGGGTGTCGGTACTTGCCTTAGTCCCTTCATGCCATTCCTCCTCCCCACCTTCCAGGCCCACACCTTCCAGCCTCCTCTTGGGCTCAGCTATCCCATCCCATCAGCTGTGCTGCTGGATGGAGAAGGGGTGGAGGTGCAGGTGGGCAGTGAAGACAGAGGGGCTTCCAGAAGAGGGACAGGAAGGAAGGAAACATGTTGCCTTGACTCTCTGTGGTCTGGCTCAGAGTGTGAGACATATGAAATAAACAGGCCTTCCACAATGCCTATATGACCCTGTCTTTGCACATCCTTATGTGTTTCATGCTCAGAGAGTCTCCATCCTTTACTCTGCCTTGACTTGCTTTGCCAAGAGTCCCATTTATGATCCCACCTTGGAACCATTCCAGATCCTAGGACAGAGTCAAGGGGTGAGAGGGAGAAAAAGCTCAGCTCACCACCCAGAGATGACTAAGATGTGATTCTGGACCTCAGTTTGCCCATACCATCATACAGGAAGGAGTTGGGTGGGGTGGGGGGGGAGAAGGATACAGACGGTGTTGTGTTTAAGGCCTTGCAAGGCACACTTTGCATGCATTATTTCATCCAGTCCTTCTAGCAACTGCATATTATATTCATTTTACAGGTGAGAACACAGAGACTCAGGGAGGCTAAATAAGTTCTCCAGTGTTACCAGCTGGCAGGTGGCCGGGCCAGTATTTGAGACTGAGTCTATCTGACTCTGGGCTACCATACTGTGTACCTGGAGTCAAAAGGAGAGATTTTTCTGGAGTACATGGGAACTCTCTTGAGTTGGATTCAGGTCCAGGAAGGGAAGCAAAAGAAATTCTAGGCAAGAACTGGCATGAGCAAGGGTGGAGAGGTAAGTCCAGTGCAGGTACTCCCTGAAAAGTCCAACCAAGGGCTACCCTCCTGTAAGTCTTCTGCTTAATGTTTAGGGTTGGGGGACTTGGCAAGAACTTGTAGATACTGCCCCACAGCCTGCTCATCCCTATCAGGTTGTCTATGGTTTATTCCTTGCTGGGCTCACTCACCGGCTTCGTGTAAGGTCTTTTTTGAGGTTTATTATTTCCTTGTCCATATACTTGATGCTCCTCATTGGCTTGTCTGGCACCTGATGAGAAGGCAAGAAGTGAAAGATAAAAGTGTTAGAACAACCGTTACAAATGGAGCCAGACTACAGGAAGCTCATGCATTCATCTGAGATCTCCGACCAGGTTGGTGGGGTCCTGGATGATGCAACAACCTTCTCTACACCAAAGAGGGATCATATATACAGTGGAAATAGCAAAGGCTTTGGAGATGGGCAGACCTAAGCTCTGACCACGGTTCTGTCTGGTAGCTGGATGTGTGATCTCAGACAAATTACTCAACCTCTCTGAGCGTCAGTTTTTTCTGCAGAGTGGAAGAATAATTTTCTTATCTTCTTGTGACAGTTAAAGTCATTGCCAAATTCCTGACTCATAGCAAGCGTTTGATAAATAGAGGCTCTTATTAGCATCATACTCAAAGCAAAGAATTAAAGGTTAATAATCATTGTTGGTGACATAGGTAGCTGATTTGGAGAGCTAAATCCTGTCAATGTAAAGATGCCAAGGTCCTTTTTTTCCCCTCACTGTCCCCATAGCAGGGTTTTATGAGTGATTTATCCAGGTGGTTGTTCATGTTTTTTTTTTTCCTTCTCTTTCCAGTATTCATTTGCTTTGCTGGGCCATAAAGGAAACCTCCCAAGACTTAAATTCATTCCTCAGAGGTTGATACCAGGTCAATGTAAAGAAGAGAGTTAAATTAACTGTATTCTAGGGAATCCCTGGGTGGCTCAGCGGTTTGGCGCCTGCCTTCCGCGCAGGGCATGATCCTGGAGTCCCGGGATCGAGTCCCACATCAGGCTCCCTGCATGGAGCCTGCTTCTCCCTCTGCCTGTGTCTTAGCTTCTCTTTCTCTCTCTGTCTCTCATGAATAAATAAATAAAATATTTAAAAAAAAAAATTAACTGTATTCTAATGTAAAAGTCACTTTTCTCGGCCCCAGTTTAGTGAAACAATAATAAGACCATTATCTGGATTACCCTGTCTTGAAATGAATTCCTGCAGTACCATTTTTTTTTTAATCAGAGGAAATCTCAAGAAATTATGGGAAAATGGGTGCTTTCAGATGAAGCTGGTGGGAGAATACATTGCAGTGACTTTTCTGAAGGGCAATTCATCAATGCATACTAAATGCTGCAAAAGTGCACTTGCCTCCAGATCTAATGATTCTTCTGCTTCAGGCATCCTATGGGAATATCCCTGCATGGGCACAGAGATCCATCAACAAAATTGTTCACTGGGATGCTGCTTGTAAGAGCAAACTCTTGGAAACCACCTATACATCTTCACAGTGGAAGACAGGTTAAATAATTATGGTGCATCTAAACAATGGAATAGTATGCAGCAATTAAATGTGGTGACAATATGATGATGGAAGTGTATTTTTATTTATTTATTTATTTATTTATTTATTTATTTATTTATTGGAAGTGTATTTATTGACATACAGAGATGTCTGAGTTCTTTGAGTGAGAAGACATGTTACAATATGAAACGCACAATTCTGCTTTTGTTTTTTCGGAAATGATCCATGCTTATGTACACAAAGATACGAAAGATACACAAAGCCATACCCCTCAAGTGCAGAGATTCTCTCTGGGGGTGGGATATGGCAAGTTTTACTTGACTTGTCTTTAGCGTATGTGAAATTCCTGTTGCTCTGCGATAAATATGACTCAGGTCTGTGATAAACAAGGAGAAAAGATTACAAAAAACAATAAGTGACCAAGTGAAGTTTGGCAAAGGCCGATTGGTAGTACTGTGTTGAGAGTGTTTTCCCAAAGGCAGAGTGAGGATGGATGGTGTGCTTACTGACAGAAGTCACAATATGGATGTGTCAGAGGGGAGGCGTGCTGTTTCTCCAGCAGCTCTCATCACCCACTTTCTCTGAAAATGAAATTGTGCGGTGATGCCCTCTGCTCTGGGCCTTTTATGTGGAACGTGGAAGGTAAGGAGTGTGGCTGCATCAAAGGTGAATGCTGTTTGTGGCTGTATGGTGGGAGTGGACAGTGGGGTCTGGAGCCAGGGAAAGGGACTGTCACTGGTCTGCCTGATTCCCAACCTTTTTTCTCCTGGATCACCCAGTGCATGTCCTGTGCAAGGCAGCTTCCATGAAGAATGGAGAGTCTCAGGGCACCTGGGGGCTTAGTCAGTGAGGCATCTAGCTCTTGATTTTGGCTCAGGTCATGATCTCGGTTATGAAATTGAGCCCCATGTCAGGCTCTGTGCTCAGCACGGAATCTGCTTGAGATTCTATCTCTCCCTCTCCCTCTGCCTCTTCTGCCCATCACTTGTGCATGCTCTCTCTAAATAAATAAATAAAATCTTAAAAAAAAAAAAGAGTGGAAAAAAAAGGAGTGGAGAGTCTCTGGTAATCCCCCAGAGTACTTGGCACTAAAGTTCCTCTCATCCACTAAGTAAAATATATAGGGTACAGAAAAGCATCTGGGATAGCCTTGAATAAACTCAACTAGATATGAAACAGTGAAGTCATGTATAAACTTTATCTCTGTAGTTATTGTTAGCAATGAATTATAGTTAATACATCTTAATATACCTGGGTATTTTAACCCTTGGCTGAAAATTCATGGCAAAACTGTTAGTTTTCATCTTGAAGGATGGGTGAAGTGGGAGAGGAGACAGATCTCCAAAGAGGTATGTAAAGATCTCCTGAGTACTTTCTAAAACTTCTACATAATGGACATTTGCTTTCTTCACACCTGGCATTGCTTCACCCACCCTCTTGATACAAGTTCCCTCATTAGACCATTTGCCCCTCCCCCATGGGGCACTTGCACCCTGCGAAATAGTCATGGTAACAGCAGCAGCAGTGGTCCTGAATGGCTGAAGCCAAACAGCACAGCCCATCCTCCATCACAGTGACTGGTTCAGAAATGGTCATGTGATATAGTTTGGGCAAATGATATGCAAGCAGACATTTGCCAGGGGCTTCTAGAAAGCATGATTCCTAGATCTTCTGAGGAACTACAGGCAGAGAAGTTCTCATTGACTATAATTGGAGAAGCAGATATGTCTGGGAGTTAGTTGCTGGCGGCTACATTGTGCCTATGGGGACACAAGCCTCCAGTTGAAGAAGATGCGGGGGAAGGCAGGGGGAAGAGACAAAGAAAAAATTGTTCCATGGTGCCTCATTAAACTGAATCAAGCGCCACTAGACTTTTCATGAACATCTCCTTTATTATTCAAACCACCTTGAATTGGATTTTCTGTTACCTGCAACCATAAGTTTTCTATCTGAAATATGTCCTCCCTTGGGTGTGCCAAGGCAGTCAATAGATCAAGAATTATTTTAACTCATCCTCTTTTCTCTTCCCTTCCTTTCCCTTCCTCTCTTGGGTGATCAACATCAGATGACATCCATCTTGGTCCATACTGAGGTGAAAGCAATGAAATTTGCCATGTGAAACATTTGAAGTCAAGGTTACCTCTCTTCCTAATCCCTCTTTTTTTTTTTTTTTTTTTGAGCACCTCATTAACTCTTTGCTACAGGACCAAAGTAACTTCCTTAAAAGATATTATGAACTAAAAATATTTATGAACAAAGAAAAAAAACCAAACACACTCAAATTTCCCTGCCAGATAATTTGAAAACACACGATTGAAAGCCTACTTGAAGTCAGTTGTGTACATATCACTTTCCTATATGTCTCAAGTTTCACCCCCTCAGGAAGCAAATATGATACTATCCAAATTTCACACATTCCCCCCTTCCCTCCTCATTCAATCTTGTTTATGGATAGTTGTCTATAAAAGAGAATTTGTATTGACTAGGGTTGGTGCTGACCAATTTATAGCAGTAAAGCCAAATATCCCTTTGACTTGACACAAAACTTTAGCAGGACAGGATCCTCGCCCCAAACCCTGCAATTATGTCAGCATTTCAAGGGTTTCTCAGGAAACCATTTTCACTGTGACCATTGTTTAAGCAATTATAATAAGCCAGCGGTAATGATTGGCATCGAATGAGGGAGTTCTGGTTGTCAGGACATTTATTAACACCATTTGATATTAGCAAAATTAAAAGTGTATAAGATATCCAGGATTCACTATCTCTACAGCTTTCTGTAGGACAGTTTAGCATGTGTATATGTAACCTTAAAAACACGTATGCTCATACTCTGAGCAATTCCACTTTTATCCAAGGAAATTTTGCAGCATGGATTAAAAGATTTATCCATGAGGATGCCTATCATGGCTGTATGTATAATAGTGAAAAACATCTAAATGTCCAGCAAAAAGCATCGAGGGGATAAATCATGGTCTATCCAGATGATGGCAAATGATGCATTTGAGTTTGGTGCTACTGTTTAATGTTGCTATTGATGTATATTTGTTACTATGGAAAGGAATATAATTTCAAGTGAAAATGTGTGTTATAAAAATATAAAGAACTTAGATCATAGAGAGTTTTAAGATTCATATTCATAGAAATCTATGGATATTTCTAAAAATGCATATATGCTAATACAAATTATGTTTTAAAGCAATGATATACAGCAAGGTATATATGCAAGGACATAATCAACTAGAAGTAAATATAACAAAGTGTTAATAGGGATATCATCTCAGGGTGTTTGAATTACGGGTAAAGGGTAATTTTTTATTTGGGTCATCTTTTTCCCCTTCTTTAAAAATAATTTACTTGTATTAATTATCTAATAAAATAATAGTGTTTTCATGTTTATAAAGCAATTCCAACTGATTCTATCAATATAAGCTTTGAGGGGCTGGACAAGGTGTGTGTGAGCCAGGCTCCAGAGTGTGCAGGGGAGAGCAGAGGTGGAGTGACGGATACAGAGGGGGAAGGGGATGTGGATTCAGAGTCCCAGCTCCTTGTCACTCTACCTCTAGCTGTGTGACCGCAGGTCTGTCACCCGCCTCTGTCCATCAGCGCTCCCACCTGGCATCTGCCCAGTCTTCATCTAAGGGCTTGTGAGGGTACTAAGAGGTACGTAGGCTTTGTGAACCAAACGTGTCAAAGAATCGTACTGTCATTATCACTACA